GCCCAGCTAGGCGGTCGCTGGGGCTGGGGAGGCCGCAGGGGCTCTCCCAGCACCGTGGGGTCTCGCTGGTGGGCGCAGCCGAGCTGCAGCGCTGGTCTGCTTTCCCCAGGAGGGACAGGAGAACGTGGAAATCCTCCCCTCAGGAGAGCGGCAGCAGGCAAACCAGAAGCGGATCACTACCCCCTACATGACCAAATATGAGCGAGCCAGAGTCCTGGGCACTCGTGCTCTCCAGATAGCGTGAGTATCCCGAACATCGCCACAGCTTTGCCTTCTCTCCTTTTAAAGCTGTTTTACTCCTTTCTTAAAAACTCCTGGATCTCATGTAATCCCTTATGTCACCGCTGAACTTGCAGATCACTATCTTGGTCAACACTGAAGCACACGACCATGGAGGTCTTAGCTGCGTGTGAAGTCTCTGTATCTCTCCCTGGATGAGACTGTGGTACTTGTGCCTATAAAGGGGGACATTCAGCAGCTGCAATGAACCTTCCTAGGTCACAGGCAAAATGAGTAGGGGATGTGACAAACTGATCCTGGTTTCTGACTTTCATAAGGGAGCCAGTGTGGGCTGGTAAAGCTCAGAACTGGTTTGCAAAAGCCAACGTTGAAGCAAGGGATGCTCCAGAATGTCTTCAGTTGATACCATAGGGCTGTAGAAATTGGCAATGGAGTAACCAACCTGAAATCTGTTCTAATTGCAGTTGTGTTGTGGCAAGCTGTTTTTTAAAGTATTTGGAATAGTGCAGCCTCATAATGGGTAATAACATTTAAATCCTATTTTAAGTGCTCTTAAGGTTGGCTGCTCTCAACTTAATCCACTTACCTGTCTAGACTTGTGTTAATAATACATATCAAAAAGTTTTGCGCTTTTTGAAAAACTGCCTTATGAGTGAGATTGTTAGACTGTGGCAAGGTTTGTCTAAAAGCATGTCTCTGAGTTTCATCTTGGTTATAACAACCCTCAAAATAATGCCTCTTCTCTGCATCGTTTAGAAGCTTGTAGGTGGTGATCAGATCTTTCCTTAATCATCACTTTGCCAAGCTATTCTTTGCACAGTCTTCACTCTATGAAGCTATTTTGTGCACATTCTTTCAACTGGTGGAAGGCCAGAAAAATGGGGCGGATGGGATGGGCCTGTGCCAGGCCTTTAACCCAAAACAGTCTGGCTCCTGGTTCTGCTTCACCTATGTGTTCTGCCTTCAGTGCTGAATCTAGGCCAGCAGCAGCCCCCAGTGGCCTTATCCACGCATAACGTGAACTTTCTTTGCTACCGCTGTCTAATGGGCGGATATTATCACCCGCGTTCGCTCTGCTGTTACAAACCTTTGCAGAATGCTTCATTTTTTCTTCCTAGAGGTAGAGTGCATTGTAAATCCAGCCCCTCGCTTTCCCCCACACAAAGCCTGGAAGGTGTGAGCAAATTGGAACGTAAGAGATGTGCTGGAGTTGCAGAAGGCATGCTCATTTCGCAGTGTTTCCACCCTCTGTATTGGATTCATTTTAGAACCACTCTTTTCCTTACACTTAAGTACAGCAGAGGGTGGCTAGAAGGGTGTGGATCTGACCAGCTCTCAAGTGCCAGCTGGTCAGTAGAGGCTGAGGGATGGGGCAAGAGCAAGTCAAGTAAAAGCTCAGTCCATAACGATTTGGGAGAATTTTCTTCCCAAAGTGCATAAGAGAGCAAATCAGGCTTGCCAAGGTGGTGTCCCACCCTCCTACTTTACTGGCTGTTGTTCAGATGACATGGGTAGGCGTGTGCTTAGCTGTCCCTTTTCCTTCTCTGTACATTCTCTCGAATGATTGTTGTTCTGTCCCAGGATGTGTGCCCCTGTGATGGTGGAGTTGGAAGGAGAGACAGACCCCTTGCTGATAGCCATGAAAGAACTCAAGTAAGTCTGAGACTTTGACAGTGAGCGTATTGATTTCCGTAAAGCACAGTCCCCTCCTCATCCCAGCATTTAGCAGCTTATTCCAAGATAACCTTGTCTTCCCTCGATAACAGTGACCACTACAGTTGCCTTCCCCTTTTTCTCCTTGGGACTTCTCCGCAGCTGCTCTATCCTATCCTAGTTGTTTGTGCAAAGTACTGATGATGAGGAGTGCTCTGACTTTTACGTCAGAGTCCAAGTGTTCTTTGTTTCTATGATGAGAACCCAAGATCCTCATCTTTCTGGAATCAGTTTAATTCCCTGAATGGAACTGATTAGAAGCAGCCATCCGAACAGACCTGTGTTGAAATGAAGTGCTGGCAAACAATAAAGTAAGGGTCAGGCTGGTGGTGTGGAGACCCTGTTAAGAGTGTTCTTTTCCCACACCCTTCCACGCTTGGCTAACTATGCTTACAGAAAGACAAATCTTTCTGACTGCAGCAGAGGCAGTTTCTGGATGACCACTTAGAGGCCCACCTTTCCACAGCAGAGCTCCCTGCTGGCCCACCATTTGCCTGCATGGTCAGTGACCTAGATCACATGCAGGTATCCTTCAAGCAGAGCAACTGGACTCCATTACTGATTTAAGTCCCTGTTCTTGAACTGAATTGTCCCTCTGCTCCCCTAGTTTCTCAGTGCATTGCAGTTGCCCTTGCAGATTTTGTATCTATTATAGCTCCTGTTATCATTGCCAAAAGCTACTTAGGTCATGTTCTTGTCAGGTCTCCAAGCTCAGTCTGAGTTGCTTCTGGTCGCTGTCTGAGCATGAGCTCTAGAAAGTAAGTCAGGGTGTGACAAAGTATAGTGGCATCCTGTTCTGTGCCAAAATTCAGTTGTAATTCTTGGCATGAGGGACCTACTTTGCTACTGGAAAAACAGTGGCCCTGAATGTGATCATTAAAGAAGTTGTATCAAGTCTGATACAGTTGAAACCTGATGCCCTGGTTAGATTCCAGACTGTCTGATTACATTCTGCTGACTTAAATCTACTTTCATTAAGTTAAATTGTGTTTAGCATTTTCTTGCTTTCTAATTGGAACCACTGTAGCAGATGCTGTGCTCCACCCCAGCTGTACCAGGTTTTGGTCCCTGATTAGTCCCTGTTTCATGTATCCTTCTTGAAATGTAACTGATGCTCTCGGTGCAAAGTACTCTGTAAATATTAGTTTTTCATGAAGGTTGACAGAATTCTGCCGCTTCTGTAGTGTCTTGGGAAAAATTTTCCGTCAAACAAAAAGTGGATTTGTTCTTAGAGTCCCTTGATTTACCCCCCCCCACACCTATATCTTAGATACTTGTTGTCTCATACTGGCTTCAGATCACAGGGATCAATTCCTGCAGTAGCACCAGAGGGCTGACCTTCTGTATGTTTTTGGTTGTTTTGAGTCTAAGGATGCACCTACAAAAGAGGAGGTTGTTGGGACTTCCCTCTACTATATAATACCAAATCACTGGTGCTACACAGATCTCTCAGTTAAACCTGATGAGCTTACTGAAGCTACTAAGGCAGTACACCTCAGTTCCCGTTGCCTGCTGAAGTGGTATAGTGAAGGCTCTGGCATTTCTATTCACCTCTGTGTCCTCCCTCCAGAGCACGCAAGATCCCCATAATCATCCGTCGTTACCTACCAGATGGGAGCTATGAAGACTGGGGTGTGGATGAGTTAATTATCACAGACTGATCAGCCTTCACCCATTGTTTTGGTTCTTTCCTTCTCCAGAGATGTTTCTATTTTTGTTTATATTTGTGTAAATAAATTATAAGCCTCCCCATTTTAAGTTAAATGTGGTTTTTGTTGTTTTGGGGTTTTTTTTGTTGTGGTGGTTTTTTTTCCTCCCACTTTCTCTTTCATCTCAGTCCTACATGCCCAAGAGAAGACTTTCTTACTTCTATCTACCAGCTTCGTCATTATTCTTTCTGTGTCATGGGCTATATTAATAAGATTGGAGAGCCAAGTGCCATGCTTTTCTTGCAGCTTTTTTCACCTGTGAAGGCCATACCTTTTAGCTAGGCTAAAGACTGCAGTAACTACTTCCTTCTCCTCCAGCACTGCTCCTCCCCAATTATAGGACCAATAGCCAATTAAACTCCTGCTGTACAAAAATGCTCTTGCAGGTACTTTGGCTTCAGAAAGACTCCAGCCCTCCACCCCTGTCCCTTCTTAAAAGGGGAGTGCTGAGACACCTCCATTGCTTCCCCCTAGACAGTTGGGCCTTTGTGTCCTGAGCAGGTTGCTGTGGAAACCCCCAATTTCCTCTCTGGCCAGGGCTGGCTGTGGGGCTTCTCAGGGGTATCGTAGAGCAGCTCTCATCAAATCACCTATTGTTTCCTTGCTCCTGCTGCTTATCAGAGGTGGGGATCCCCTTTCAGTGGCACTGCACCAGCCGGAAGCGTGATCGCCACTTACGGTCCCACCAGCTCGGCAGCCGTAGGTTGTTGCTGCGTTTGGTCCTCTTTCAGCCGTTCTCTGACACGCAGTTGGAACTGATGTTCTGAGTGTGTGGGTGCTCTTCAGCCATCTCAGTTGTATATACTCTGGTGGTTCTTACACTGGCACAAAGTAGTTAAATCGCAGAGTAACCTGGAGTGTGATGAAAGATCAGTCATTTGTCCCCTTAAGGCACCTGCACTCTTGCCTCTGATGTGCAGGGAGGTTATGTGCTCAAATCAAGAAGAGTTGGGTGGATGCTTTACAATCTGCAAGGGCCTCTGGCCAGCCATTACCTGGTTTCCATTTCTTGATCTTCTGTGTACTCCAAGGTTCTTGCTTTGCATGAGGAAGATTGAGCTCTTGGGCAGAAAGCATTGAGCCTTTCTCAATTATCTTACTAAAAAGTGCCCATGGAATTTTTATTTTCTTTAAGTAAAGAGAAGAGGGAAGGTGCACCTGTGGTTTCTGCTTTACATTGATTTTTCTCTCTACACCAGTCCAGGAAGAATCTTTCCAACTAGTTGGTGTTAAAGCTTGTGCTTTATATATAAAGCGTGCATTCTCTGTGCTGTATGTGTGGTTGGTGGCTGCAGATGAGCATCCATGTCCCAAAGGGAGTTTATATCCACCTGCCTGGGAGCTCAGCTCATATAACTAGCTATGTATGTCATTCTCTTACTGCTCCCTGTAAAAGCACTGGTCCATCCTTCTGTTGGTGTGCACAAGAGGAGCTGGTTTTGGTGGCGAGAATGCAAGAGCTGAATGGGTCCCTGGGCAAAATGACAGGTCAAAGGGAATGTGGAGACGCTTGCAGGTGTGGGAAGGGGGTTGACTGTGAGGAACAAATGCTTCCTGGTCCAGGCCATCCCTACCAAGAAAAGGTTAATTTGCAGCACTCTGGCCTTCAGCCTTCTCCCCCCACCCTCCATGGAATCCTTTAATCACATTGGTGTGGTGAAATTTCAGCCCTGAAATGGTGCCTTTGTGCAATCGTTTTGGCGTCCGCCATGGAGTGCGGGGTCGTTTTCTTGTCCTTTTTTTTTTTTTTTTTTTAAATGGCTTCTTTGTTCCCTATCCGACTCCCCTCCCCAGCCTTGCATCTGTATCAGATACGATTAAAGGGATAGGGAAGGATGCCGGGCCAGCCTCTGCTAGGCTGCAGGAGGAGTGGTTAACCCCTCTGTTACCAGCGGTATTCTCAGTTCTGTCTTAGTTGTGAGAACCCTCCTAGATGAGAGGAGGCATCCCCTTCCACTAGAGAATGGTTGAGGCAGAGCCCACTTGCTTTCTTGATTTGCTTTTTGAAGAGCTGGAGGAGGTACTTGTGTGTGCTTAAGAACTTTCTTTTCCCACTCTTCTGTTCATCCACACCATGCCCTTTCTCTCTTCCACCCCTGTAATCAACTCTTCTATCCCTAACTGCACCATGGCTTCCCTTCCTCCTCACGCATGCTCCTGACCTCCACTCCACAGCAGTGCAGTAGTTCCCTTCTGAACTCTTCCCATAGCCTGTAATTTGGGGTAAAGATTTCTCCTCTCCAGTGAATGGCTGCAGTCCTATTTTGCATGGAGCTCTAGCTGGCATCACCATTGTTAGATCCATTAAGCCATCCTGCTGATGATGCTCTTGGCCCTATACAGGACTTATCCAAATAGTGCTGTGAGTTTTAAAAAGCTTTGAACACATTCCACGGTTCCTAGAAGTCCTGCTTATTCCACTCACCCATAAAGCATTTAGTGAACACAAACTCACTGGATTGATCACATGCACCTGCACTGAAACCTTTGGAATCAATTTGTAATTGTGGAGTCTCTGTGTTAGTTGGGATCCTACCTTGCTACCATTGGCCTTGAGAGGTGTTCTTAAGCAGACTGATATCTGCTGTACATTTTCTTTCCATACATCTTCAGCCTCCCAGGACCTGAATACACCCAGGATGTCTTCAACAAGTAAGAAGGTGTGTACATCTATTCTTGAACATGCTCTCTGTGTGTGAGTGTGTGTGTTTGTATTTAGATTCTTGCTTGTAGAAGGCTTGCAAGAGGCCAGGGGGGTGAGTCTTTACAGATAAACTAATGGTTGCTTCCAAAATACACAAGTTTGTGTATGTGGGGAAGTATTTTTTTGAAGGTACGTCATCTGCCACCTGATGATGAGGAACCAAGACAAGAAACCCCCGCACTCCTATTCTGGAGGGCATTGACAATCACACTAAGAAATTCTTGGGTGAAGCACATGCAAAACAGCGCTTTTCTTAATTGCAAGTGCTGAATCTTAGCTGAAGAAATCAGCGTTACTACATTTCTCACAGAAGAAATCACTGGAGCTGGGGTGTGAATGGAAGATGAGTCTCATCTCCTCCCTGAAGGAGTCTGGTAAGCCAGTCAGAGTCTTCTTCATGACAGGCAGAGGAAGGCTGTGCATGGGATCCATGTGGTGGTGGTGTGACCCATCATACACTTACTGGGGGAAAAAATAGAGACTTTCAGGAAAGAAGTCAAAAAAACAAGACACGTGAAAATGAAACTTTTAAGTTTATTATTCCATATGTTTAATGCAGAGTTAATGGTGCTAGGACAGCATAGAGACTGGGGAAAGGGAGGTGGGGGAGGAAGGTGCTACTTGCATAAATAAGGGGACAGGGCTGGAAGAGGTTACATGTGTACAGGGAGCAAACATTCTACATGATCTTTTCAGACACCACAAGGAGAAGTCATCCGTAGCTAGGGGAGGCAAAAAGGGCATCTGACAGTCATATCAGCAGAGGGAAACAGCGGCACCGATCACAGTCCACGTTTGGTCAAAGCATTTTATCTTTCTAGACTAGAATATCCATTGGAATATCCTACAACATGTCTCTGTGATCAATTGCCAGGAGTCATCTTTTCCTGCAGCAACTTTTGTGCCAGTTCACTCCCTGGCATGAAAAACCACCCCGGTCCTGGAGGTGTCAAAAGGGAAGTTAGCAGACTGTCCTCAGGTGTTTGGCTGAAAAAACGAGCTTGATCTGACTGCGAGAGCTGGTTGTTTCCAGTTTGAAACCCAAAGGGGAAAACAAATTCTTTTGCACCTAAATAGGCTTATTTTCTTCACACTCATCCAAGATTGGGTGCGTATTTACCTTGCTTAAAGCCACATGAGTATCTTTCCATCTTCAGCATAGGTAGGAGGGAGGTGTTGACTGACTGGAAGACATGACGAACAAACAAGCGGGGATGCACGCCCCATCAGCCTGAGTTTGGAGTGGAGATTCAAAGAGAGTATTGGAATCAACTCGGGGTGTCGGCAAGTGCATAGTAGCTTTCTTGGTGCCTCTTCATTTCAGGCAGGCACAGTCAGACGTGGAAGAGCAAGGACCAAGTTTGCTCAGAGGTTGTTTGGGGTACTGAAGAGATTAGAAAGGACTGAGATGTCAGAAATGCCAGACATAAATGAACAATACAGAGTAATTGTAAGAAAGGAGGATTCACCCACAGCACCTTAATGATGCACCGGTCCTTCCCCACCTCTCCCGCACCTCCATACATGAACACGCGTGCACACAGGCTATGATATGAGTAATGCTAAGACCAACAATGCAGTTCCTGAGTCCTACGCATTGTTCAGGCAAGCCTTAAAATCTCTGTGCAGGAAAGAGCGTGGGATTAAACAGAGACAGGATGGAGAGAAGAAGCGGGGAGAAAAGCTAGGATGCAGCTGTGGAAATCAGCAGGGAAGCAAGCGTAGGTTGGTCTTCCAATGGAGTTCAAGATTCATGCATGTGTGAATCTTAGGCAGGACAGCTGCACAACGCTGATCGCAAGGAAGCCGGCCATGCCGTCCTCCCTGCTACTCCTCCCATAACATGTTCACCAAGGCTGAGCAACCACCCTTCACCCACAGCGGGTGACAAAGTGTTGGGCCGTTACGGCCTGTTGGAAACACTTGCTAACTCCCTGGAGCAGTTTGGGGAGGGGAAGGAAAGGACAGTCTCTCTCATGGTACAGTCCAGGGTGTGCACAACGAAACCCACCACAGACCAGTCACTCCATGTCTAGAATCCTCCTCATCTAGAAGGCAAATAAGATGTTGCAAGCCAGTCACATGGCCTGCGTGAAATTGGTAAAGGGTGAAAGGATGAAAAACCTTCCTCTAGGCGGGTGAGCCAGCGATAGCCGGGGTCAAGAAAGGCACTTCTGTATACTCCGTGGGTTCTGGTGGCTGGATGGCACTGAGTGACCTCGGAGTTCGGAGGCTCTTCTGCCTGTGCTGATTCTTCGGAGCCTTTCCGTCGCTGCTTCGGTCACCGTTCCCCATTCCCTACGGTCTGGAGAGAGTCGTATACACGGGCTGTTCCCAATGTGTAGGGCTATGGG